CTGGGAGGACTATGCATGTGAGTCTTCACGGTGACCAGCACATAATAGTTGCTCTATAAACAGTAGCTGTTGCTGTGACACATTTTGTATGAGTGCACGGGTATTTTGAAATTCCTCTGCTTGGGCATCCACTTGCCCTCCCTTAACTCAAGGCAGCCTGAGCCCTACCCAGGTTGGACACAAGCTCATGCTCAGGTGAGGACATCCCACATATATGGGAGCTTGAAAATAATGATATGAGTGGCTTGCTTACATTCCATCATTCTACCAAACACGTAACAGGTTCCTGCTCTCCACCAGGCCCTGTGTTAGGGCTGGAGGTCCAGGAGAAGTTGAATCTGTCCTACCTTCGAAGACTACCTGGCTGGTAAGGTGAGACAAAGTCACCTGACTCTGATACACAGAAGATGATAAGGAAGGAGGAGCAAAAGGCTTCCTCGAGGAAAAGGCCTTCCTGCTCCAGCAGAGTCACTGACCACTGTCACCGGCGCTCTCTCTCCCGGGCATGCTGCTGCATGGCATGACCCTGTCTCCCCTGCCCCTCAGCATGGCCACAGGACCCACTGGTGCTGACTGAATGTGAACTGAAGTGTGATCAGCTTGGCCCCTCGAAACCCCAATCATTCCCTAATCCTTTCCTCCTCCTCTGAATGGCTGGAATATTGCGACCCACACTTGTAGATTCAGGCTGAGTCCCGGAAGGACTGAGTATAGTTGCCACCCACCCAGAATCGTTACATCAGCAAGAACTCTAGCCTATTTTCCAGGTATTTGTAACATTCTATGACTACTGTAACCAGGATTATCCTGATACATCAGCCTCTGATTGTCTTCGTTTTGTAACTTTTCCCTTCCAAACAGCTAGCAATTGCATTTGGTGCTGTATACTGTTACCAAACCTATTGTCACAACTTAACTCTTCATGTAATTGGAGATAATACTTCTCACCAGTACTGTTTCAGCTTGGGAGATTCTTATTGGTTAGTTCTCTGTTTTCATTCCTTTTGGTGGTGGTGGTGTATGGAATTGGAACTTGAACTGGGTTTTTTTTAGGAAAGTTAGAATTCCCGCATGTTTGAGCATGTATCTCCCTTCACATGTGAATGCCTGTGTGGATGATGGATTTTTGAAAAGTATCCCTCTCCATCCGTCTTCCAACTCTGTAGACATTGGTCCACCATGTACCGACGTGGAGAAGTTCAGGACTAGCCTGTATCACCCAGGGGCCTGGCAGGAACCAGGTGACATGCTCACAGAGTAACTGAGGAGGTTTATTTACATTCAGTTATAAGAAGAATAAGGCTGAGGATCTGCTGTATAACACAGTGACTATAGTTGATAACACTATTGTATAGCTGAAATATGCTGAGCAGAACTTCAATGTTCTCATCAAAAAAAGAGATTAACTATGAGGCAATGGATGTGCTGATTAACTCGGTGGGGGGATCCTTTCACTATGGATGCATATAGTAAATGCTTACATTGTACACTTTAAATATCTTACAGTTTTAGTTGTTGATTATACGTCAGTAAAGCTTAAAAATTAGTAGTTTATAAAGGGGTGGGTAGGGGTGGCTGTCTTGCCCATATGCCCTGGCATTACCTCTACTTATTGCTAATGCTCAAGTCAGTCTTTCTTGTTCTGTTTCTGTTGCAGGTGTTTTCTAGCTGTGGGAGCATGCTCAGCCCATGTGTTGAGCAAGCTAAGAGTGCCAGAAGTTACCATCCTGGAAGCAGCCCTCCAACAATGTCAGAGGGCAGCTGGTGGATAGCTCCCAGCTTCCTCACTCCTGGGTTGGCATAACTCTTGAGACACGTCCTACATCATCTCTCCCGAGAGACTGAGCTCAAGGTGCCCAGTCTGGAACCTGCCTGCATTGGCTTCTCTCATTCCCATCTTACCCTGTGCACTCCTTCCTGTGTCTCCTGGGATCTCTTCCTAGGTACACTGTTCACACACAGATCTTGGCTCAGGCTCTGGGGGTCCTCTCACCTGAAGCAGAGTTTAGGGAATAAAGGGTGGTGCAGTAGCCTGAGGCTAGTATCAGAAGGAATCATTGCCTTTCAAGAAAGGGGCAGGAGGGAACAGTGTGGTGTGGAGACAACCTCCTGACAGGAGCTGTGGCCTGGGCAGAGACGCAGGTGACCCAGGGACTGTCCAAGTGGGGACCTGACTTTTTCCTCCTTCCACCTCTGATCGCCTGCTGGCGCCCCCTATGGACCATACCCAACCAGAAGCCAGAGGGCAACACCTACTGGTGTGTCCATGGGGGTCAGGCCGCTGCCCACAGCAGCATGGAGAAGGGGAGAGAGTGCATCTGGAGGGGTGGACCCAGATTCGCAGCACAGAGCCTGTTTTTTTGCCTTGGTGTTTGACCTGCTTGGAAAGCAGTGTTTTGATAGGCCAGGACCAGGCAAAAGGCATTTCCAGGGCTTGGGATGGAGTACACGAAGGTGCAGAGACTGGAGGGGCTGGGGTAGGTGACAGCCAGCATTCTTGTTCTCCCGAGGCATAACAATCCACCCCAAGGCTTAGTGGCTGCAAATAACCACCATTTTATTATATACAAGCCTGTAGGTCAGGAATTGGGGCTGAGGTCAGTTTCTGTTTCTCTTGGCCTACTGAAGTCACACGCAGCTGGTAGCTGCTCTCATCTGGAGGGTCCAGAGTGGCTTCACTAATGTGTTTGGTTTCTTGGTGAGGACGGCAGAAAGGCTGGGTGTGGTGGGACTGTGGACTGGAGTGACTGTACACGGATTCTCTACTGTGATGCTCTTGAGGTAGCTGGACTTCCTACATGGTGACTCAGTTCCCAGAGAGAGTGTTCAAGAGACCCCAGTGGAGGCGGCAAGATTTCTTTTGACTGAGGCTCAAAGTCCAGGAATGTCATTTCCACCATGTTCTATCACACAAGTCCATCAGTCCAGCCCAGGTACATAAGGAGTAAAATTAGACTCCCTCTTGAAATGGGAGGGGTAGCAAAGACCTTCTGGTCATCTTTAATGGACCAGTGAGTCATCCAGGTTGACTAGTGTGTGAGGCATGTGCTGAGAAATGCTGGGACTGACGTTGGAGAGGGACTTTAGTGCCATGACAGGGGCCGGGGAGACGGTGATACAGCAGAGAGTGAAGTTTCTAGAGTCAGGTTCAAATTCAAATCCCTGCACTGCCATTTAAATACATGTGCCAAGCAGGCTGTTCCTTTCTCTGAGCCTCAGTGTTCTCACTTATAAAATGAGATCAGTTTCCACTTCACAGTATTGCTGTAAAGATCCAATGGGCTGGTGTTTACAGAGCGCCTCCCAGAGTACCTGGCTCCAAGCATGTCTCAATAAATGGGAGCTATTATTATTTATCCTCAGTAAATGGAGAGCCATAAAAAAGTCTTACAAAAAAACTCCTCTGGCTTCAACAATATATTGGAAGGATCATCTCTGATCTCCCCCTCACTCCTACATACAACCCCAACCAAGTCCAGCTGATTTGACCCCCCCTAATTGGAGCCTGAATCTGGTTTTCCCACCTTCCCTGACTAACCACCACCTCCACCCAGACCACTGTAGCTGCCTCATTCCTAGTCCGCCACGCTTCCCCTGGCCCCTCTGCAATGCTCTTTTCCCAGCAGCAAATCCAGGCCTAACTTGCAACGTGCACACCTGGGGATCTTGTCGACTTACAGACTCAGTTCAGCAGGGCTAGGAAGGGTTCTGAGAGTCTGCAGTTCTAATCAGCTCCCATATGGAAGCCCATGATTCCCAGCCCCTTTGAGTAGCTGGAAAATATCTCTTCCAGAAGAAGTTTGTTACCATCATGCCTTCACTTAAAACCTCCACTGATTTTCCAGTGCTCTCAGGGGAAAGCCCAAACCCTCACCATGTCCCACAAACCCTGGGCCATGTAGTTCTCACCTGATTCTCTTGACCTGTATCCTCCACACAACCCCACACCCGCTTACTGTTTATTTATAATATAATGAAATGAAACCACCCTGCCTCGCAAGCACTATAACACTACCAGTAACTGGAGTGCACCTGTATGCTCCTCACCCCTCCTTCCCCATTTCCCTGACATAAACACAAATTTGAGAACAATAGTTATCTTTCCCTTGCTTTACATTTTTTCCTACAAATGTATGTATCTAAACATGCGTATTTTTGGTTTTGCTTTCATTATACATTCTAAAAGCTGCCTCATAGTAGTTTTCTACAACTTGTTTTTTTGCTCATCATTGTTTCTGATAGATCAATATTGTCTGCAGCTAAAGTTCACTCAGTCTTGACCGTTGTGCAATACTCCATGGTGTGACTAGTCCAGTTTATTTGCCCACTCACCCATGGATGGGCATTTGGGGTGTTTCCAGTGTTTTTGTCATTAGAAACAGCGCTCGTGTGAACATTCTCCTACAAGTTCTCTGGCTGCAGGCAGGCGTGTTTCTCAAGGGTAAATGCTGAGGTGGGGACCTGTTGTGTCCCCTCACCTTTCATTCCTCAGCTCCCTGGGACCTCTCACAGGGAAGGTCTCCACCTGGGCTGCCCTGGTGCACTCCACCCCCACCCCCTGGCCCTCACCTGGCAACCTTCCTCAGAGCAGCCTTCCCCAACCTGCAGGCTGCGGCTGGTCCCCATTAAAGCTCTATAACTATACAATTATGTTGTGTGACTCTGTGATGAGCGTGTGTCTCGCGGGGAGAACGCAAGCCCCACGAGGTGTGTGATGCTCACCGGTTCCCAGCTGGGCCTGGCTCAGTGCAGGCGCTCAGGCAGGAGCGTGAATGCAGCTCGAGCTGCCGGGCAGGAAGCACAGCCCGGCCGGCGGCTGGAGCCTGAGCCCACAGGTGGCTCCAACCCGGCGACCCCGGACCGGGGACTTCGGGCGGGCCACCGCCCAGCGTACACTCGGGTTTGTCTTTGCTGCTGGCCAGGAATTCCAGGAAATACGCAAAGCCGGCAGCGGGGCCGGGGCGGGAGCGGGGCGTGGTCTCCGGGCCAGGGGCGGGCCGGGGGGCGGGCCCGAGCCCGTTAAGAGGACCGTGGCGGGCCGCCGGTGCTGCGCGCCCCGCTGAAGCAGAGACCACCCACCCTCGGCGGAGGGGGCAGCGCCGGGGCGCACGCTTGGCACCATGACCCAGACGCCCGCTTTCGACAAGCCCAAAGTAAGCGCAGGCGGGAGCTCGGGAGCGGGGCGCGGTTCTGGTTCCTTGTCTGGCTGGAGGGCTTAGTGGTGTCCACGCCCCAGGAATGGGGACCCCTGTGGGCGCTTTCTTCCATCAGCTCAGGTTTTTGCCCTTCTCCAGGCTGTTCAATAAGAGACAACGAGGCAGGGAGGGTGGAGTCTGGACGCGCCCCTGGCTGGCCTCCGAGTTCTGCTGCTGACCTGACGTGGCCACTCTGGGTCTCAGTTTCATTGTCTGTCAAATGGGCATCGCAGCCGCCTGCCTGAGTCTAGGCAGGGTGCTTGACATCTCTGAAATTCAGCTGTACAATGGGGCCTGGAGTCTATACCCTGAGATACCTCGTTTTGTGAATAGCTTTATACTCCAGACCATGGTGGTTTTGGGTGCCAAGAAGCTCAAATTTGTGTGTGTGCCCATGGGAGAACCCTGAGCATGCTGGGGGGTGGCGGGGCGGGGAGCAGGGCGCCCTTCCTCCTGCAGGAGGCACTGGATTGGCCTTAGCCCTTGAGCTCCTGTAGGGTTCATTCAGGGCCAAGCCACAGCCACTGGCTACAAAGGATATGTCCCTTGTCCCTCCTCCCACCAGCTGTGGTGTCTTGGGGATGATGGGGTCTGGGAGGGTCTGCACGGGTCTTGGGCCCTCTTGGCAGGCTTGGAGCACTGAGATTCAATCCAGGGAAGGGAGAAGGAGCCCGGGGGTCTGACCAGCAGAGTGAATAAGCTGTAGGTCAGGCGAAGGAGTGAGCAGCAATCAGCCTCAACTTACCTACGTAATAGCTTGAGTGATGATGGCAGCAGATGTCAAAAAGTGTTGGTGAGAAGCCTATGGGGGTGGGGAGGGGAGAAGGGGGACTCTGAGGAGGTAAGCCCTGGCACTACTGCTGATGCCCCCACCCCAGGGAAAATGCTCAGCTGCTCCTGGTCAGGGCGTTACTCCTGCCCCCAACCCCATGACCCCTTTTCACCTTGTTGGGATGCCCTGTGCCCCATAATTAAAGCTGCTTTCCTTTAAGGCTTTTTTTTTATAATGCTTTTTGGATTCCCTCTACCCTTGGAAATGAATTCCCTTACCCTGATATGAATCCTAAGGTGGTAGAGAAAGCTCCTTGACCCTTAACTGGTTGTGAGATGGGAGTCACAGAGGTAAATAAGCAACACTTCTATCAAACTTGCTATATGCACCAATTCTATCCTTGTATCACTTTTATAACAGCCCTATCATCCCTATTTTTTGGCCTCACCCAATTCTCTCTTAATCAAACTGGTAGGTCATTTTCCCTCCCTGGGCCTCAGTTTCCACACCTGGGAACTGGGCCACACTTGTGTGTGGGTGTTTCCAGAGGTAAACAGGCAATGCTTGAGAGGGAAGTAGAGTGTCCCCCAGTATGTATATGAGATGTGATGTTTCCTGTCCTCGTGAGGAGGGAATGGGCCTGAGCTGGCCGAGCGTGCCAGGAGCATGAGTCTTGAGTTTTCGTGACCAGAGCCAGTTCCCGGCCTCCCCTGGGTGGAGCAGATGATAATAGTGTTAATAGCCGAGCTTACTGAGTTATTGCTCTGTGCCACGCACCATTTCGTTTACCTTCATTAATGCATTTGATCTTAACAGTGACTCTGTGAGGCAGCTAGTGTCATCCCATTTTATAGGTGCAGAGATATTAATTGGACCTGAGATCTCACAGGAAGTGGCTAAGCTGGCTTCAAAAACCTCATGCCTCTAACCAGCTTTTCTGAACTGTGCAGAAGCCTTTGGGGGTGGAGATGCGAGAGCCCAGGTGTGGGCCTGTCTGGGACCAGAGCCTCTGCTGAGCTCTTAAGCTCCTCATAGCTACCACCAGGTGAGCTTTAAGAAGGCAGAGCAAGGCAGTGCTTTCCGAACTTTCATGTGTACTCAAATCATCTGACTTCTGTTAACCTTCAGATTCTGAGTCAGGAGGTCTGGGGCAGGACCTCCGATGTTGCACTTCTCACAAGCCCCAAGGTGTTGGTAACACCACTGGTCTGTGGCCACACTTTTGAGTAGCAAGGCTCCAGGCAGCTGCCTGCCTGATTTGATTGTGTTCTGTCAACAAATGCTTGCTGAGCACTGGAAGAGGCACAAAATGGGGTGGAAGGGTGACCCTTATCAGTCCATTTCCACACAAGGCAAGGCTGGAAAGTCCTGTGGCCCTCAGCTCTATGTTGGGGAGGGATGCCCGGTGTTATAATAACAATGGCTGCCATTTGAGTGTCCCAGATACCTGGCACCTGTGGGTGATTCATGTCACAGAATCCCCTGGACAACACGGTACGGCAAACATCTTCATGCCCATTTGCAGATGAGGTAACTGAGGCCTGGAGAGGTGAAGAGACTTACCCATGCTACACAAAATCTGAGCACCTTGAAGCTGGAGTGGCTAGTGAGCTAGCCCCTGCTGGAATAGCACAGTTTCTGAACGGCCTTTCCTGATGAACAAGAAGATTGGGGCTGAATCTCCAGCATTTTTGTTTCTCATATTTGAATGCTTATCTCAGGGACTGTTCTGCTTTGTGTATATTAAGTATTTTTATGCCCACAGGAGCCCTTTGGAGGGGGTGTCCTTCTACATTCATTTACATATGAGGCCACTGAGGCTCAGAGAGAAAGAACTTGCCAAAGTCACATGGCAGAAAGCAGAACTAGACTTGAACCCAGATCTAAAACTGAAGTAGATGCTGTTTACTGCCTTGCTGGTTTGCTTTTCCTGCTGTGTGTGGGAGGAGTGAGAATCAGGGTGGCCCTGGGCCTCAGACTGAGGTTAGATCCCTGCCTTCATACTTGGCAGCTATGAGAGCTCAGATGGGCAATTCCCCGATCCCCAGGGAATCACATTTTTCTCTGTAAAATGGGCCGATAAAACCAAGGTTGGGAGGCTCTTGGGGAATTGACGTGCAGTTGGGGCTTGTGAAGCAGCAGGCCTCAGGCGTGCATTGCTCCTGAGGACCGCAGGGGGCTTGCTGTGGCCTCTGGGGGTCTCTCCACTGGCAGTATCTTTCCCACCTCTTATCTCCTGCCACAAAGCCAGCTGTTGGCACTGCTTTGGGCTTTCAGTGCTTTTCAGTTACCAGAGCCACCTGTTAAAATAAAAATGCCCTGGGAAGAGCTCTGCTTGTTACAACTCATGTGGCAGTTGGGAGGGAGGGGAATGAATGAGATTGGGTTTCCGGGAAGCCTTTTGTTTGACAGGCGGAAATGAGGCTCAGAGAAGGGAGGTGTGGTGTCTGCTGTCACAAAGGGGAGGCTGTCAGCCTTCTGATTCCTCATCTGACCTTAGGGTGGGCTTAGCTTGGGAGGGCAGGGCCCCTGTGAGCTGGGAGGAACTTGTCCACCTGCCCAGTTTTATCCTAGGGGTACCCCACCCACCCAGGCAGGGAAGGGTGGCATGGCCGCTGGCTCTGGACAGGAGAGAAGAGTGGGTTGGTGGGGGCTGGCCAAAGTGAGGTTCTAACCTATATTCATCCATAGTAAATATGGATTTGTTCTCACCTGGTGGGGTTCTGAGGCTCCAGAGCAACAAGGTAGGGGGAAATAATAACCTCTGGGGGCCTTGTGACAGTGGTGGTAGAATAGCAAGGAGTTTAAACCTGGTCACCAGCTGGGGCCAGGCAGCCTGGGTCTGAGTGCTGACCCGCACTTACCCTGGGGGAGCTTAAGTGAATTGCTACTCTGTGCCTCAGTTCACCCATCTGCGAATGGGACTCATACCACTCTACATGAAACCCAAGTACAGGCCTGGCTCAGAGAGGGCATGTCAGTGGTAACTGATATCAGTCATCCTCCTTAACATGGTTACTAATCATGCTGTTTAGATTTTGCCAGCACTGACTGAGCGCTGAAACGCAGGATGAAGGGACTGTATTGTGGTGGTTATGGCTTCCTGCATTAGTCAGATGGCTTCCTGGTTGTGGCACTCTTTAGTCTATCCCCTAAGGCAAGTTCCTTAATCACTCTGAGCCTCAGTCTTCTCATCTATGAAATGGGGTGAGTGCTGAGTCTCTAAGCTGTTGCCCCCCAGGACATCCCCTGGCTGAAGACGTGACTTGCCTTCTCTGAAACCTCCAGGGAAGCTACAGCAGCAACACAGAGCTTAACTGGGTGCCAAGGCAGCAGGAGGCACAGAGGGGGCTGCTCAGCCCCTTCAGCTCTGTCCCTCTGAGCTGCAGGAGCTCAGATGTGGTTGAGCCAAGAGGACTTCCTGGAGGTGATGTGGCTGAAAACAGCTTGTCAGCCCTGGGCCTGCTCTGTCTCCTGGCCTCACCTCAAAAGTCAGCTGAGAGGGCACAGTGCCCAGCACCTAGTAGGGGCTTAATAAGTACTTGTTGGTAACTGAGGATGCTTCCTATTCAGATTTGGAAGGATTTCCTGCGATTCTGTCAAATGCTCACTGTAAATCAGTCTCATGGTGAGCACGTGTATGGAATGAGAGAGTGAGATTCCTCTCCAGAGAGGTCAGGAGGCTGGGTGAGGTCTGGTGCAAGCACCAGGGAGGTGGTGTGGCCCATGGGTAGGACTTGGGCTTAGAGGTGGAGAGATTTGGGTTTTCACCCAACTCCACCACTGTCAGTCTGTGTATCCCTGAGGTCACCGAATTTCAGAGTTTAGCTTGGCAAGTCCATTTCCCTATCTGCAAGTGGGGCTGATGTGTCCCCTGCCTAAGGGTTAAGATTAAATGAGATAAAGGGCCTGATAACAGTAGGCAGCTGCTGTTATTACTGTATTACATCCGAGGCTAGACCTGCAGAGAAAGTGTAGTAGGAGCTCAAGACTCCATCTATCACTGTCTGTGTCTTTGGATACTGCTATGAGTCTCAGTTCTCTCATCTGTAATATGGCAGCAAAATCTCTACTTTACCAGAAACAAGTATAAAATACGAAATAAGGCATGTAGATGGTCCAGCACAGAGTAGCTGCTCAGAAAGTCAGAGACCACTGGCGTTCCTTTTTCCTGAATGGGGCCAAT